CTGAATTCAGGAGTTCTGGTTGCTAACGCCTGTATGAGTGAAGGATAATTACCTGCAAGCAGGAAGATTTTGCTGCAGTTTTCTTAAAATAAAAAGTTGTTAGGCAGATCAGCAAAATTATCTGCTAGCAAGCCAGAGAAACTCAGCTGTAGTCAATGGAGTCATTGACTATACTTGTTGCTGGCAATGATTTAACTTCCACAAAGCCACATCATTTATCATATTCAGCTATTCTAGCTAATTTGGATTTTATTGAATTTGGTGCCTATAGTTAATTTGCAAATTCATTTTATTCTTTTACTTCTAAAAGAAACATAATTATAATAAAGAAAATGACAAGACAACACCACAAATCTGTGAGAATCCATTTTTTTAAGATATTCAATATTACACCAAAAACCCAGAAAGTTACAAGTCAGATATCTATTACAATGAACCCATTGCAAAAATCTTAATAATCAAAGTATTTAAGTCAGAAATAATAGCCTATTTCAGCTAATATTTGATAGAATAAAATCTAGAAGCTCTGTAATTGAAGTAATCACTGTTAAAATTTGTTATATTGAACATAAGTTGATTTAAACTACAACCTTTACCAAAAAATAATTTTTTCTACTATAAAGAGTTTGAAGAAATTGTGTGCAATTGCTTGCTGCATAATTTTTAAAAATTTAGCTTTGTTTTTGTTATTTGTATATTGTACATGAATTTTAAACATGTGAATAATATTTTTGTTTAATTCCCATCCTTTTATAACTAAATCTGGTGTGATCAAAGAATACATTTATTTTCAAAATATGGAGAATCTTACCCTTGATTCATATTAGATAACTTGTTTGCACTTTTCATGATTAAACCTATTTATGCAATTATTGACTTAATTTAAATATAGCCTAAAAGCTGACTCTACATTCATCTGCTATGCTGAATTACTACCTAACAGCAGTATGCCAGAAAATATTATGGATATGCATGTCTCTGTCTATTTAACTTTCCGTATGTGTAACTTGGAACTTTGGTCTCAACTCTAAAATAAAAATTCTCTTTGAGTTTTCCAGAATTTTAAAATCTGACTTTTTTCTTTAACAATGTAAATGCAAATGTAGTTCCTCTTTAGAGTTACTTTATCTAAGAAGGAAAGGAGGTACTAGTAGTAGCCAATGCTTTTTTGGTCTCAGGTCACCTTTATATTTTAAAAAATTATTGAGAAACCCAAAAGAGATTTTGTTTATGCAGATTATGTCTATTACTACTTACAATATTAAAAATTAAAACAGAAATTTTTAAAATATTTATGAATGCATTTGAAATAATAATAAACTTACTACCTGTTCACATAAATAGAATATTTTCTGGAAAGCATTATTTTTCAAGTTGAAAATAATGGAGAAGCATAATAATTTATAGGTATAAATTATACTATAATTTTATACTATAGATTACATAATTTATTTTATAATTTTATAGATTTCTTTACTGTCTGACTTTAAAAAACTGTATATGTATGTATGTATATATGTATGTATTTAGAAAAAGCAGGAAATTTTTTAATAGCCTTTTCAGATAATTCTGAAATGTCTTCCTTGACACTATATCAAAATTCATTAAGTGGTTATTTCTTAAGACTTAGTTACAGCATGAAATCTAAAATCTTATCAGTGAATTTTTAAAATTTACTACTCTAAAAAGTTCATGGGTCTAGCTTGCATTTTCACTAATCCTTAACTCATGCTTTTGTAATATTAAATATTGGCCATCTAGAAAATTTGGTTCAATGACATATACAGATTTTCTAAATGCTGATATATATTAATATAGTAAAAATAATTATATCCATTAATATCATCACCCATCTCATCAGAACAAAAAAAAACCCATTAAATTATGGAAAACTATCAAGTTCACAATATCAGTTACAAGTTTTCCAAAATTCTAATTTTCACTTGAAGGCTTAAATTTTATAGTTCACAACAAATGCTACAGGTCTGGTTTTGAAATGACAGACGTACTTTGCTCATTTTCAAGAAAATGTCTGCCAAATACCAACGTCTGAGTAACGTGTTTGTCAGTTTTCCTTTCAAGTAAAAATAGTTTTCCATTTACAAAGTGACTGGTTTAGCCTGCAAGCCGCTCACATGAGTGCTTTTCCTTCGGGTAACTATCATATTTTGGTAGGCAGCTTTAGCACTTTCCATATACTCTGATGTGTTTCACAGAACATTGTTCTCAAAGGTTGAAAATTAATAAAATCAATAATGTTTATTGTTTCAACTAGGGCATTCTTAAATCAAACTGACATTTTTGTTCTTTTTTTAAAGATGAGTGGACGGTGCAATTACTCCACAGACAATTTGTTGACACTGCTTTGAATTGACACACATCCCCACCATTGTCTTACTCCCACATCAGTGCAAATGTCAAATAGTGAAACAAGTAAATCCTAATCTATGAAAAATATTTTGATTTCGTGGAAACTCAGATAGAATTTGTAGGGGTCCATGGACTATAGTTTGAGAACTGTGGCTTTTAGCAAAAAGGAAAATAAAAATTACAAATTATGATGGAAAAAAATGTAAAAAGTGGAAAATATTGAAGTATTGAGAAACTGGAAATATTTTTTTTACCAGAATATTTTTCAAACATTTGATATTATCTTTTTCTCCAGATAATAGATATTATCTATGTCATCAATTCACTTGTGCAGCAGACATTATTGAGCACTTTTTGTGTCCTGGTTTTGAGCTATGTGTTGATGACACAAAGTTATTGTCCCCTGACTTGAAGAAACTTAAGAGTTCAGAAGGAAAAGGTGGCAAGCAAATAAAGTCAGGTAAAAAGATTGCTATTGATACCATAGTAGTGGTATAGCATAAGGGAGTCAACGACTAAGGGTGATGAGTAAAACTTTTGTCACGTGGATGCAAGGTGTGTCTCCACCAGGCACTTGGGAAAGAATTGTAAGCATAGCCGACTGAGGGTATAAGCTGAGGAGAAAATAAGGTGAGACTGAAACCAGAGGAACTGGAGATCATGGAGGACTCATGAGCCCCTGGCAGGATTTACTGCACTGCTCTGTGTACATCCAAGAAAGACAGATGCAAAGAAATAACCAGATTACCTTTGCAGTTCACCTGAAACATGAACAATGAGTGGGAGGGAGAAGGAGGGAAGCAACAGTGTTTTCATAGACTATGACTATCCTCCAAGTATAGACTGACCAAGGCTGATTTCTGTTAAGTGATCCCCTTCAGAATTCTTCATGCTTGCAAAGACTTCAAACACAAGAGGTCCATATTAAGTTCTTCCAAAAAGTCTTTTGTCTTGCTCCACCCTGGTGATGGAGACTTCTGCAGCACAAGTACCACCAGTGATGGAAAAACTTGATTTGCCCTTAATGGAGGTCTCTGCCCACTCCCCAATCTTTATAGATTATTTGGTGGTTAATTTTATATGTTATATTGAAGGATATTTTTGGACGAGATTAGCATTTAAATCAGTCAACTCTAGGGCCTCCCTAGTGGTGCAGGCTGTTGAGGGCAGCGCTGTGAAACTGTCTGCAGCCTCTGCAACCTGGGTTCAATCCTGCCCAACCAGGAAGCTACTCACACGGCGTGGCCGACCTCTCCTGTCTCCCCGTTGCTCCCCTCAGCAGTGATTTCAGTCAGTTTGCCTGTTCTGCTCCCCACGCTGTCTCTGGTGAATGCTCTCATGCTCCTGCACATCTGGCCTACACCCCGGTTCTTGCAAGCATGAATAAATAAATCTTTAAAAAAAAATCAGTCACGGGCCTCCCCGGTGGCGCAGTGGTTGAGCGCTGGGTTGCAAAGCTGCACGCAGCCTCTGTGGCGCCGGTTCGATCCCTGGCTGCTCCCCGGCCACTGGAGGAGGGTCCCACATGGCGCGCAGACCTCTCCTGCCGCCCACTGCTCCCCTCAGCAGTGTACTTCGGTCCTTCTGCCTGCTCTGCTTCCCGCTCTGGTGAATTCTCTCACCCTCCCACACTTCTGACTGTACCCAGTGCATGTATAAACAAACAAACAAACAAACAAGCAAACAAATAAATAAATAAACATGCCTCTATTAAAAAAAAAATTAAAAAAAAAAATCAGTCAACTGTAAGTAAATAGTCAAGTAGGTAAACAGATTATCTTCCATAATGTGTGTTGGCCTTGTGTAATCAGTTAAAGACCTGAATAGGACAAAAAATAATAGTCTTCCTGAGAAACAGGGAATTCTCCAGAAGATGAGTTTTAGACTTCATGTGCACCACTAGCTCTCTGAGGTCTCTGTCTCCTGGCCTACAGGCTACAACTATATTATCCACTCTCCTGAGTCTCAAGCCTATCAGCTCACCACTAGAGAACCTTAACTAATATAGCTATAATACTGGGGTGGGGGGTGTCCCTTGTGCTTCACTTGTGGTTCTGTGATGGGACAGTAATGCCTCCTATTAGGTCAAAAATTTTCCTGCCATTTTAATCTAAACATGGCTGTTCAGTTATTTCATCTCTGTTTGTATTTCTAAAAGGGATTTAGCCAGCATATCTTCTTAGAATATGGCTGTTCTAATCCCCTTTTGTGTCATCTTTGGTGTTTAAGTTGAACTAAGACAACTGGAAAAGGTCCATGTAATAACCCTTTCTATAACCTGACATTTTACATAGAAAAAGCATCCAATTAGATGTTTTAGAAAATTTTTCATGTGATTTCTCTCATTACAAGACAAAGAATTACTCGAGTTACCTCAAGAGATGGAGCCTGGGTATGATACTTTGTGGAAAGACACCTGTGGAAATAAGAAAAACAGAAGACTTGACCACCTTTCTTCTTCTAAAGTTTAGAATCTAAACCAGAATCCAGAAGAAACCTCACAATCAGGAGTCAAAAGAACAAAAGCTTCCCATGAAGACTAAACAATGGTTGATGTTCTGGAAAGTGAGTCAAGATTCCTTATGACTCTACTGCTTGGATTATTACCTTGCTTTCTCTCAAGTATTCTTTGTCTCCCTCTCCATCTCTTCACTTATATTCTTCTGCCACCATCTTGCTAATTTTTATTAAGTAACGTGAGTACACAGTCTCAATAGATAGAATTGAATTGGTCTAACTATGGTCATACTTTCAGTGACACACTGCTTCATAAGCTATTTGTCTGACTAGACCAACTACCTTTGAGTTAGGTAGTATGCTCTGGTCCAATTGACCATGGGTAGCAGACTGGTGTGGAATAAAACATGGCCATCTCTACCAAAGGAATTTCCTAGAATAACTTCCTTAACATGTGCTATGTATATAACAATTTTTCTTTGAAGAGGATTGTTGACATGGCAACCATGCTGGATCTAAAGTGTCCTGTAGATTCATCATTTTAACATAATGTAGACTTCAAGGAACCTTAGGGGAAAAGATAAGGAAGCATTTTTATTTTAGTTCTTTCTTTCTTATTGTTTCTCCATTCTGTTCCATCCTCTTCCTTGTTTTCAGAGTCCTGAGTAGAGTTACATGTGCATGCCATCCCACTCTTACCATCCTCACTTCATTTCACAGTATACCTGTCTTCTTGTCTTCTGATTTGTTTACCCAAGATCTTGCTTTCTGTGGTGGAGAATAAATAGCTAACCACCCATTGACATATGAATAACAAGAGCCAGTGGGTGCACGATGTTCCCCTTCTCTCCACATAGTATGTGTCCCTGGTGGCAGGTAGACCTTGCAAGAGTGGGGGACAAGGAAATCTTGAAAGGGGGTGTGGTGTTAGGTAGATGAAAAGTAGAACTTCAAATGACACTACATAACTAATACTTTAGTCTACACAGCAAAAATATTTAAAATTATTTGTGTCATTATACACGGAAGCAACTAGAAAACTAGTAATGCTTCCTAGTGCATTATAACCCTTAAGTCAGTAAGTAACTTGTGGTCCTATATTACTACATATCCAAAAATAACCGTCAGACAACTCACTTTTAGACCCATGATTATCTCCTCTCACCTATTACTAATGACATATTATTAAGATTAAAAAAATTGCTTCATTGATTTGGCATTTAATGGAATCATTCAATTAAACATGAAAACCCTACTGAAAAGAAGACCAAGTATTTAACCACATGTGATTATTTTTCAGATGCATATATTACACTTACACAGCAGATAACCCAAGAGTGTGGTAAAAATAAAGATAATGGCTAGTTTAGATTTTCAATCTACATAGTTGTCCCCAGATGTAAAGTAACTATAAGGAGAAAATAGTGATGAAAGGGGAATATTATGTATGTGACAAAGGAGGTTGTTATTCTATCACACACAGCATTTAGCAAGTTTTTTCAGGTTCCAATTGCCTCTGTTTTATTTAGAGAATCTCAAAAGTAAAAGGACATAATTCAGATTATTGATAGAGCCCTCAATGACGCCTTGTAAGTATATTATATAAGTATATCATATTCACTTACTGAGAACTATAAAATTTTCACCTATTTTTGTAATTAGTAAAAAAGGTAGGTAAGAACATTGATATATCTAATTAATAACTATCATACAAGTTTGAATTTAAATTCTACATTTACCAGTCATGCAGAGGTTTGGGCCTGGATTTCTTCATATGTCAGATTAGGACAATACTAGTCTGGCGGTGTAGTTATGGGATTAGAGATAACAGTGTATGTCAGCACCCTGGCGCATGGCAAGGACTCATTATATTGTTATTTGGAGAAGTGCTATAGTAAGATGTTTACATTTAAAAGACATTCACATTCTCTGAGTTTGATGTTGCTTGAAAGCCTTCTTTCCTGCCTGGTTGCCGACTTTCCCTTTTCTTATTGTTCTAAGAATACTTCTCCATTTGACCCATTGTAAATAGTAACAATTGTTTAGTTGTTCCATCAGAAGAGAGAAGGTTTCCTGGAGCCTGGCTGACAGAGCGCCCTGTCTGATCTGTCTAACAGCTTTGGAGCTGGAGACAAAGCACAGTGCTCTCACTTCCTCCCCTAGGAAGAGAACAGTGTCCCCAACCAAAATAGATCCTAGTCCTCTTGCAAACACCACCCAGAATAAATGCAAAGGAAATGAGGACAACAATCCACTGTGGTGGATATTGACCCAGAATTCTTCCCCAATAAAAAGTTTTCAAAGTTTGTAGGAAGTTTTCATGGATATTATAGCACATAAGTCATTATTGTGTCAATTCCAGGTTAAATATTAACAATAAACTATAAGCAGAGTGATTCTATTTGGACTTCTTGAACAAAGATTTTATATCTAGAGATATATGTCTATGAAGCTACAATTACAAGGAAAGCCTACTTTGGCTAAAAGGACCAAGTTTCCCCTTCACATCCATAATGAAACTTGGAATAAGAAATGTATGAAGATATCTGTATCTTTATACTTTTTAAAATTACATCTGGATGCAAATTAGTGATAAAAATGGAGAGGAATAGGGTGAGAAGGCACCAAAGATAAATATTAATTTTTCAGTTAAATTGATTGTTAAGACTTAATTGTTTTCATTCAAACAAGATATTGATCTTTTTTGGTCACAAAATTACAAAATTAGCTACCTTTTTTCTCTTATTGGCAAATTTTCCTGTTATCTGTACTTTCGATAGTGCTCAAGTAGAATAAAAATGCTAATTCTAATCTGAATCCAAATTCAAGATTAATTAATTGATAATATTATTTGACAAAAGCTGAATGTCAGATAATAAAAGTTTTTGAAGACATAAAAGTTTCTTTTCCCTAAAGCAGCTGCATTTCTCCATGCAAAAACTAATTCATAAGAAGATAGCACCCTGAGATATCAAATATATGAAAAAGAAAAATGCCTAATGAACTCTTATAGTTCATTAGGGGAGAGAACTTCTTTTAGCAAATGTCAAAACTTACTATTGTAATCAAAACAGAATTGTACAGATTTTTTAAAATTGTATCATTTTTTATTGGGGTAATATTGTTTACCATATTGTATATGATTTAGGGATACAAGTTGACACGTCTACAGATGTATGTCATCACACATTACTCACCACTAAAGAACTCATAATCCTCCACCTTAGTCCACTGCTCTCCTCCCCCCATTAGCTTCCTGCCTCCCACCACCCCACTCTGGTAGCCTCAATTCTAAGGTCAGATTTCCAGGGTGTGTTTTGGCTTAATCTTGTCTGTTCCTTTGTCTTCTTTCTTTATATTTCAAATGAGTAAAATCATCTAGTATTTATCTTTCTCTTTCTTATTTTGGTTAGCATATCTCCCACCAGTTCCATCCATTTTGTTGCAAAAGACAAGATTTCACCCTTTTTTAACACTGAGTAGTATTCCATGTATGGAGATACCACATCTTCTTAATTCACTCATTTGTCATTGGTCACTTAGGTTGTTTCCATAACTTGGCTATTGAAAATAGTACTCAGTGAACATAGGAGTACATATATCCCATTGAATTAGGGTTTTGCATTATTCAGATCAATTTCTAGGTATGGAATTGCTGGTTAATACAATAGATATATTTTTAATGTTTCAAGAAAACTCCATACTGTTATCCTTAGGGACTGGGCCAGTCTACATTCCCACCAACTGAACAGTACTGATTAAAACACACATCAGTGGGAAAAAATAGGGTTTAAAAAGATATCTGAGAAGGACTGGGAAAGGAAAAGATACATAATTCATGTTATACCTACAATGCAAAATGTATATAATAAATTGAATTGGGATAATTGACTATATATAAGCAAGAAAATAGCACAAACTCCTGTTTTATATCCAAAAATAAATTCCAGAAATATACAAAAAAGGAAAACTATAAAGATATTAGAAGAAAAATTAGGAAAATACTGTGTAATTATGGAATGAGGAAAGTTTTCTTTTTTTTTTAAGATTTATTTCATTTATACAAGAACCGGGGTACAGGCCAGATGTGTGGGAGGGTAGGAGGATTCACCTGAGATAGAGCAGGGAACAGAACAGGCAGACTGATGAAACACACTGCTCAGGGGAGCAGCAGGTGCGACAGGAGAGGTCTGCTCACCATGTGGGTTGCTCCGAGGCCAGCGGGGATGGAACAGGCACTGTAGCGGCTGCGGACAGCTTCACAGTGCTGTGCTCAACCGCCTGTGCCACCAGGGAGTCCCCGAGAAAAGCTTTCTTTAGCAAGATAGAAAAGCTAGAGTAATTAACTGAATTTTTAAAAATTCACACTAGAGAGTATTATGTAGCTAGTTTATAGAGAAATAAAGGAAGTGTCAATTAAAAAAAAACAACCCGTATAACTTCAATGTAGTATGGAGCATAACAAATCATCCATCCCTAGACAGAAGAATCCTTTTATATCCCTAAAACACAAAGAATACTTGCAAATTAATTAGAAAATGACAGATGTGAACAGGCAATTCACAGCAGAGGAAATGTAAAGGGCCAAAAAACATAAGATGTTTGACATCCACATTAGTAATCAGGAAGTGAAAATTGAAACACCTGGACATCATTTGGGTAGGGGCAGTGTTCCTATCAGCTTGGTATAATTTCAAACAGGTGCTGACATCCATCCAGGGCTGGGGGTATTTGATGCTCTTGAACACTAAGGATGGTCCTGTAATTGCTTCAGTCCATAAGTAGCTGTCAGTATTTGTTAAAATATGAAAAAGCAAATATACTTTACCTACAATCCCAGTTCTGGATTGTACACAAAAAATAAGGTGCATAAAAATGTATACAGCATTAGGGCCTCCCTGGTGGTGCAAGGGGTTAAGACGCAACCTATGAAGCTTGCTGCAGCCACTGCAGCATGAGTTAGATCTCCGGCCAAGGAGCTACCCACATGGCACAGCAGACCTCTCCTGACTTGCCCGCTGCTCCCCTAGCAGTGTATTTCAGTCTATCTGCCTGTTCTGTTCCCCACTATGTCTCTGGTGAATCTTCTCACCCCCCACAACTCTGGCCTGTACCCCAGTTCTTGTATGTATAAATAAATAAATCTTTTTTAAAAAATGTATATAGCATTAAAGGAGGGAGATGGGAGAGTTTAATGGTTAAGAGCAGGACCTCTATAGCTAGATTCTACTGGACTTCAAATCTTATAACTTACTCTGACATTCAGTAAGCTATTTAGCCCCTATGTGCTTCAATTTTTTCATCTGCAAAAAGAAGGCGACAATAATATCTATTTCATGGAGCTTTTATAAAGATTAAATGAGATAGTGTATACAAAGTGCTTTAAACATTGTCTAGTACATTTTAAAACCATAATAAACATCGGTTATTACTATCAGGAAAGCTAGACATAGTTTTAATATCTCACAACAAGAGAAAAAAATAAACTTGTACTATAAAACCATTAAATGAATGAAGCATATTTGTATGAAGTTATTTTTCTAAGATATATTAACTGTAAACATGCAAATTGTGGCTTATATAGTGTATAACTTTAATTTTGAAAAAAAAAAATTTCCCTACAAATGTGACTTTGTTTCTACTAATATAATAATTTGAGATATTACCCATGATTTCTCTTCCAGTAGTTCATATTTTACTTCTTTCTAGTCTTACTGCCACTCGAGTGCCTAAGTGGCTCTAGGATTATTTTTCCTAACAGGGTATGAACAGTCAGACAAAGGAATCCTCCAAGCAACTGGTTTCCAAAAAGTCAAACTTGTAAATATTTGAGGGTTTGAGAACAGAGGGATTACCCCACTATCTGACTGGAAACGACACTGGATGGTAATAAAAATGCAAGCATATAAAACACATGTGCAAGGATGTTTATTGAGATTGGAGAGGAGATGCTCTGGTTCGGGGAGAGACAGGAGATGAGATGAAAGGGAAGCAGTGAGTGCTGCAGTGAGTTTGTGGAGAGAGTATTGCAGTGAGTATGGAAGAAAAAACCCTTTACATTTCCTCTGCTCAGTTGATTCTAAATCAACTGAGATTGTGTTGTCACTTAACGCAGGTGGAATAAAGCCTCAAACTAGAAGTTAATTTGAATTAAAAAACAATTGAATTATCTATCTTTCTCATTGAAGGTATAGATTCATACCAGTTACATGCTAGAAGTGACAGATAGAGCCTGGACAAGTGGAAAACTCCAGTGAGACACAGAGATCCTAGGCCAGAGGAGAGCCTTTATTTCTGGTAGAGGTCAGGGGAGCTGGCAAGAGTCCATAGAGGAAATAACTGGGTAAGCTGGGGCAGGTAAGGGCATCAGACACACTGGTAGAGTTTTTTCATGGCTCAGACATGACACAGACACAACACCACCTGACAGGATCTGACAAGTGGGGTTAAAGCATTTGTGGGGACCAGTGTTACCCACTGGGTGGAAGACATCTCCACATCACTATAGTTACCAAGAATCAGATGCTTCTTATGTTCTACCTCTCACTCAATTTCTCAATACTACATGAACCCCCTGAAAGGCGGGCAAAATTGCAGGGAAAAGGACATTCGAAATCAACTGAGATTGTGTGGTCACTTAATGCAGGTGGAATAAAGCCTCAAACTAGAAGTTAATTTGAATTAAAAAACAATTGAATTATCTATCTTTCTCATTGAAGGTATAGATTCATACCAGTTACATGAAGTTTTGTATATTTATATAAGGAGACTTTAAAAGCAAATTACTAAGAGTAATTGTCTAGCATGGAGAGGATATACAGTTGGAATGAGGAGAAATAATTTGTGATACTTTAGATACTTCTGTAAGGTTTAACCTTTAACATGAATAGTATTGCTTTGTAAGTTCATTGACAGAAATTGTACCAAATGCAATGACAAAATAGACAGGTTCAAACTCATTTTGGTGATGATAAAATCGAGCCTCAAAATGTCTATTTTTGGAAAAATATTAGTGTCTCTAAGCTTCAATTTACTAATTTATAAAATGAGGGGATTGATTTAAATAATTTGTACTATTATTTCCTTCCCTAAAATTCTCATAAGGCATCAAGTTCCCTGTTCTTGAACATGTACAACCAGATATGAAAGAAAATAATCATATTTGTAAGGGACAATGCATAAGAAAAGACCCTTCTAGGGCCTCCTCTGGTGGCGCAGTGGTTGAGCGCTGGGTTGCCAGGCTGCCTGCAGCCTCTACAGCGCCAGTTCGATCCCCGGCCACCGGTGAGGGTCCCACCAAAAAAAAGAAAAAAAAAAAGAAAAGAAAAGACCCTTCTAACTGGCCACAGGAACCACAGTGGAAAAGAACTCTTCCAGGAAACAGAGGCTTAGCTGACAGTCACAGTTCTGCTCATTAATTTCTGCATAACCTTGGACAATGCCCTTAAACATTTTGGATTAGATTACATCTCTAAACTAGAAGTTTCCAAAGCTGGCTATACATTAGAATCGCTCAGGGATTTTGAAAAAAAAAAAAAAAATACACATGTCATACATCTAATGGAAAAGTGTACATGCGGCTCAAAGACAAGTCCAAGAACAGTCATGGCAATGCTATTTGTAATAACTCAAAACTAGAAAGCATCCAAATGTTCATCCAAAACAGAATGGATAAAGAAATGTGGGCCTCCCTGGTGGCACAAGGGGTTAAGACACAACCTATGAAGCTATCCGCAGCCACCGCAGCCTGAGTTCGATCCCTGGTCAGGGAGCTACCCACATGGCATGGCAGACTTCTCCTTACTCGCTGGCTGCTCCCCTCAGCAGTGTACTTCAGTCACTCTGCCTGTTCTATTCCCCATTCTGTCTCTGGTGAATCCTCTCACCCCCCCACACCTCTGGCCTGCATCCCAGCTCTTGTATGCATAAATAAATGAATCCTTAAAAAAAGAAATGTTGGTATATGCAGGAAAGGATACTACAGAGCGGGGATCAACAATTTCTTTTCCTGTAAAGTGCCCGTTAGTAAATCTTTTCAGGTTTGGCACTCACATAGTCTCTGTTGCAATAAATGCTACCGCTTATTGTGAAAGCAGCTGTAGACAATACAGAAACAAATTAGCCTGGCTATGCTCCAGTAAAACTTTATTTACAAAACAGGAGGTCGATACTCTATTGTATAGGAAAATGAACAAACTATAGCTACATGCAATAACATAGATGAGTTCTACAAATTGAGTGAAAAAAGCCAGATACAAAAGGACACACATTGTATGATTCATTTATGCAAATTTGAAAAATAGGCACAAGTAAGCTAAGACGGTAGAAGTCAGAACATAGTGGAGAGTGGTGACTAGCAGACATTGTGGGAATGTCTTCTGGGCTGGATTGCTAGATTACTGGAGTTGAGACTGTGTTCACTTTGTGTCAATTAATTGAGCTGAAATTGAATGATTTGTATATATATTTTTCTAATATAAGTTTTACTGTAGCAAGAAGTTTGTATGAAAATAGATATTTAAGAATCTTGGTGGCTCAGGTCTGTGGACTGAGGATCTGTCCTAATTCAGCCCTGACAAGGAAGTAACTGCTCAAGGTCAAGTTACTGGCAGAGCTGACACAGTGAGTTCTTACGGTGTTGGACCTGGAGTGAGTCAGTTACATAGCACCAGTCCTTGAGAAGGGATTGGTGTTTAGTTAATGAAGCCAAGGTTATACTCTGTTCTTCTGCCTCAAGTGTATTTTCACTATCACCTAAATATTCTCATTGACTTCTGCCACCTGGGCAGCACCTAGTTCAGAGCTTCACAGATTTCTAGAACGGCTGGGATGCTGCCGGAAGGCTTTCAGAACTCAGCATGAGCACAGCTGTCAGTTCTCAAAGGAGAGGGCCCTGCTTGTTCTTCCCAACACCGTGGTGTAGCTGATTCAGCCTGGACTTGGGGTTTGAACATAGACTTCACATTCAGATTTGGTGACTTGACGGCAAATGACTATTTTACTCAACTCTGACATCTCTTGCCTGTAAAATAGACACAAAACTACTCCTACTTCATCTTTCCTACCCCTACCACATGCAAAGGTTTTTCTCCCTTTTGTAATTTAATACTCATTGAGCCCACGTGTGTGCCAAGCACTGTACACTATTGTAAGGGTGATCTCACTTGGTCTTATTCAATGAGGAAGGTTCATTTATGATCATCTTATGCAAGAAACTTCAGTGACCTGTCCAAGGTCACACAGGTAGTAAGGGGTGTAACCATTTTCCCACTGAGGAAGTCTGGCTGGGAACCTAACCCTTAACCACTGCTTGTTACGGTAACAATGGCTGCGACTGTTACTATGCGAGCCCATGTATGAAATTCAGTAGAGGTTAATTCTGCATTTCCTCTTTTTTCCAAGAGCTATGAATCAGAAATGAGGCCTGGCAGTCAGAAAATATGGATTCTAGTGCCGTGGTAAATCACTTTTATTATCTTACTATCATAAGAAAGAGTGCATGAGGTAAATCTGAAATGTTTCACCAAGGCTGAATATGGTATGTCTTTTTATGAATGCTTGCTCCAAGCAAAAAATAATTTTAAAAGATTTCTGTCCTAGGTTGAAAGTTTCACATTGGCTTCCCATAATCGTTTGTTTCGATTTAAAAAATTGGTGTTATTTACTACTTCAATCTCTCTCCATTGCATATACATTCCCACTCATCTCTCCCCTCCCTCAGCTATTTTGTCTCTTTCTTCTGGGCACCCTTTACTCATGGCTGCTCAGTCCCAAGGTCACCTTCAAAGGGACACTCTGGACTTTGTTTGAACAGCTGAGGTTTTCATGAATTTCTCCATACATCAGTACCTATGTGATATGGAAGATTATGCCACACGAGTCTTCTCATGGTCCCCTAAAATTCATCTAGAACTGAACCAGTTACTCTCATTAAAACAATCCATGCATGCCTGACTTCTTGCCAATAATGCCAGAATTTCTATAAATTAAAAAGTGGACATATTGATGTGGTTGTAGATGATGGTGGTGATAAAATATAATTCTATCTCTATATGGGATGTTTTTTTACAGAGGCAAAGTTGAAACTTAATGAATCAGATATGGAAAACTTTGTGTCAAAACATCCACTTAGAGGGCAAGAATGGTAAATTCACAGAATGAAATAAGGATTGTTTTTATATTACTCACTTCTCTATGATTTACCTACATCTCAAACTCAGTATTTAAAGGAAAATGAGTTTTGTTCATGCCAACCATAGAAATAAAAACAAAAATTAGTTAAATTGAAAAATAAACCATTATGTCATCCTTGACACATGTTAGCAGAAATTCAAAGTAACATTTAAATAATTTATGTGGAATGTATATAGAAGCATTACATTAAAATAAGTCATTAAAAAAAGCCAGAATAGTCAGAAGGGTTGAAAGATTTAGAATTCCAGTAAAAAGAGTTTGGAATTCCAAAACACACACACAAAAAGTCATTTTTATTGTCTTGCTTAGTTTGGTTTTATTCCAGGAAGTTAGGAGACACTGTGCTAGACAGAGTGGATGCAGGCTATGATGGGAGGCTTCCTATGAAACCGGAAAGGCTCTCAGACCCTGCACTTGACTCCCGGCAATGTTTCTCTTTGTTTCCAGTATATCTATTTGTTTCTTTTTGCTTAATGCAACCTATTGTGTTCAGATGAGACAGACAGACAGAAGTGGCAATTCTAGGACAGTATGCCTACCAAAAAGACATTGCTTTTATAGCACCAAAAAATAAATGAAGGGGGCCTCCCTGGTAGCACAAGGGGTTAGCACAGCACTATGACGCTCTCCTCAGCCTCTGCAGCATGAGTTCGATCCCCAGCCCGCCAGGGAGCTACCCACATGGTGCAGCAGACCTCTCCTGTCTCACCTGCTGCTCCCCTCAGCAGTGTATTTCAGTCAGTTTGCCTGTTCTGCTCTCCACTCTGTCTCTGGTGAATCCTCTCACTTCCCCCAACCCCGCACCTCTGGCCTGTACCCCAGCTCTTATATGCATAAATAAATAAATCTTTAAAAAAAATAAATGAAAGATGCTTACCACTGATTTTAAAGCAATATTCAGCATAAATGGAAGGACCTGCTGTAGCAGCTTTACAAAGGATCTCAGATTAAAATTTTTCAGTTCCCAGAAGCTAACAGTTTCATATATACACATACACACACATATACAGAGATACACATATGATTGTTTTTCAAATGATTCCAGAAAAGCCATCACTAAAAATATTTTTTTATAATGCATAAATTTTGAATTTTGTTTCTGAGCTATTACCATTTTGCTCATGCACACCTTGGGAATTAATACCCAGAACCTTTTCTTCATCATTTTGACACTGATTCATCCTGTCATTGAATCTGCCCACTGGAAGTGTTATGAAAGTTTCATTTTAAAACTAGAATTGGCTTTAGTTTAGTATCAGATTCCAAGCAGTGCCACAAAATTATGTTCCTGTTACTGTAAAAACGTGAATTAGCATTGTTTGCTAATTAGAATTTTCAGTTCATTTGCTATTTGGCAGGTTTTTTTTTTTTTAAGATTTATTTATTTATGCATGCAAGAACTGGGTATAGGGCAGAGGTGCGGGGGGTGGGGGTAGCAGTGAGAGGATTCGCCAGAGACAAAGGAGGGAACAGAGCAGGCAGACTGACCAAAGTACACTGCTGAGGGGAGCAGCGGGCGAGTCAGGAGTGGTCTGCTGCGCCACGTGAGTTGCTCCCTGGCAAACCAGGGATAGAGCTCATGCTGCAGAGGCTGCGGATTAATTCATAGTGCTGTGCTTAACCCCTTGCACTACCAGGGAGGCCTCTATTTGGCAGGTTTTTAATTACCAAAATCTTATTCTTCAGTTTAATTTTAAGGCAGGTATTTGACTACTGTTTGAGGGGGTGGACTGTGAGCCCTAAGCATCTGAAAAGAGAATTAAGGTGTTGGCAGTGCCAGCCACGTTTCAAGATCTCTATAGAGGAAGATCGTTGGCTCTTCCAGCTTCCTGTGTGGTCCCAAGCACCCCTTGGCTTGTGGAAGCATAGTTCCAACCTCTGCCTGTCTTTCCCTAACCATTGTCTCCATGTGTGTTTCTTCACTTTATGTGTCTCTCTCTTTTCTAGGATGCCAGTCTTTTTGGACTAAGCATCTTATTCTAGATGCTGGAGTTATAGCAAGAATACAACAAAGACCCTGTGCCCCCACTGCAAGCAGATTGACACAAAAATCAAAATCCAAGAATGTCAGTGATAAACACTATGTAGACAATTATGTAATAGGGCACCTACTTGGATTGGGTCAGACATATTACCGTAGAGTGACATTTAAGCTGAGCTCTTAAAACAAAAAGGAGGCATACAAAGTTGGAGAAAAGAAGATTCCAGGCAAAGGAAACTGAGGCCACAGGGGAAAATAGCCTGTTCCTTCTCATAGCAAAATATGTCAATACAGAAGGTTTCTTTTGTTCTGACTTTACATATTAATTTACAATTTATCTGCCTAAACTTGGGTTTCTTATAGGTAATTTTCTGTACAGATAGGTACAGTAGAAACATAATATGAGAATGTCATGCTCTTTAAAAAAAAAGCATTCAACTTTCATTTGAAGGTAGTATATTGTTTTATGAATTATGAGATTACTTTTGTAGCTTGACAGGTACTTTCTGAATATCATTGCAAAGAATTGGAGAAATTATTAATGACTGAATAATTCCTCCTCATATCTCCTTAAAAGGTATCAGATCTAAAACATTGGTATCATTTATAAGATAATCACCCTAAAATTTATCTGTAAATCAAATCAGAAGTAATGTAGACTTAGTCACTTTGATAAAACATAGCTGCATTTCACAGTAGCTGCTTTTTTATGAATTCTTTTCCATTTTTATTTTATTGCTACATCCTATCGCATAGGAAGAGTGATCCAAAATTGGCCTCTAAGTTGCTTCATCCCAAGGAAAATGAAAACATGATATGGCAATGCAAAACTGCAGAGAGATTTAAAAACCAAAATATTTTGCACCTTTTCTATGTCAAATTTGGGTTTGCATTTTTAACACACTCAGGAAGATTCACAGTAAAAATAGGGCACATTTTTTTCATATCTGTTGTTTGCAGACATAGCATATTTTACTCACTGAATTATTAACTTTTCCATATGCTTGTCAATTTTTAGAAAAAGACCAAGAACTTGCAAACTAACATTTCAGAACCTGTGATTCGGAGAGAGAACATGTATCTCTCGATCCCAGAATAACCTCCAAACTGACCCATAGGATCTTGAATGAGAAGCTTTCTAAGAATATTATTGTTTTGCAGTCACTTTCTATGTATTTTCTCAAAAATTAACAAGGCCAAAGATCTCTGTTAAGATTCTCAACATTTAAAATGACTCATACTTTCACCCATTATTTGGAGGGAAATATCATGTTACAAACCCTTGAAAGTCAATGAAGTAAGCAAAGACCTTGCTGTGAAATAAATATTTCAAAAAACTTACAGGAAGGTTCTTTTTTATTGAGTTATATTTGAAATAATTACATTCGAAGAATGACATTGGGAGATTAAGTGCCAAGTCAAGCCCAGCATTCTTTCATTTATGGCATGACAAAAGCCAGTTCTCATTCTCACAACCCTGTACCACCCTCACCTGTGAGTTCAGGAGACCTTAGATTCGGTGTGCGTCACTAGGTGTCCTAGCCCAGGGAACAGGTACCATGAAGGCTTGACTAGAGAGCAGGTCAGTTTTTATTCGGTTGGGTTTTGTGGTGTTTCTTAAAGACCTACATGACATTTTCCAGAGTTCTGAGTGAAAATGCTGGTCCCCTGAAAGAGTTAACAGATGAGTTATTGAATATTTTATAAAGGTCTGGTCTAGTCTAGGGCCTACTCCAGTGAGAAGATAATTGTGACTATGATTTCAGAGATAGTAAGAGGAATCCAAAATATAGAGGAGCTTTGATCTTTTTCTAACCCAATTCTAGAATGTTATCTCTTGTCTCTTCTACCTTTCATATCACAAGCAAATAGACACCTCAGTCTGTTGGTTCTAGAGGTGTATTACATAAACACATACAGGAGTTTTTTTGCTGGTATTTGTGTTTCTTTTGTGCATTTCAAGTTTTGCACATAAGTAAGTAAGTGAAGAATGAATATTTTGTAGGAATAAAAACTTGCCCTTGAGATACTTTGCAGCTTCAAGGAACAAAAGAAATGTCAGAAGAAGAAAGGAAATAGCAACTTACTCAGGTATCAAAACAAATGCAATCTGCTGTTTTAGGGGGAACTTGCTGATAGAGGTGAAGGAGAGCTTTCTTCACACGAGAATGGCAGTATCCTGGCAAGATGCTCCATTAGGCTGAGGTGGGGCGTTTTCTTCTTGTAGACTTTTATTATTCTACTGACTTGCAATGGAAGACTGCCTGGGCATGTCGAGTCCAG